GTGAAGATACCCTCTTTTTCGGACGACGAATCAGTCAAGGAGAAATCGTTATCAAAAGGCATTTTTTCCAAAGCTGCAAACCAAAATGCATCATACATTGATAACCTTATCGATACCCGAAAAAAGACACGCAATTGGATAGAGGATTACAAAAAAGTACAGAAATAAGAGAACTTCGAACGACACAACCATTCAACAATTACTAAAGACTGATGAATGGTACGTCTACATTACATTTACTCTACCATTTACATGTTGCATAACAGGGTCCAAACCCCAGTCTTCCGCACCCATCCTGGTCGAAAGAGGAGCTTTTGTGATGCTTTAAATGTTTTAAGCGCTGTGCAGAGAGCCTATCTTAGGAGAGCGCCTGTAGGAACAACCAAAGAAATAATAAGATGGTTGAAATCAGTTTGCAATCTGTTTGGTGAGTGATCTTGCGACGAAGACACAGAAAAAAGGAGTTGTCTCAAGACGCTTCGGGGACAGTCAGCAAGCGCGCTCCTTCGCGGATTCTCTGCGCGAATCGAACAAGTCGGCGTCCCAATCTCTCAATAAATGAAAAAGAAACACCAATGCAGAATGGGTGATATATTCTCTCTTCCAAATGAATTGCTTATGCTCCTTCTGGGGCATATGGATGGTAATGATGTAAGATCGTTTGGAAACACTTGCAGGCGCTTCAGGTTAGTCCCTCATTCGTGAAAGGGCTTTTTGTATCTTTGATACTAAATATTCTAGGAGTTTCATACTTTCCAATAAACTGAAGTTACCTAAACCTGAATTGAAATGGTATACCGCTCAACTCGCTTTCGGTCGAAGGATAACTCTTGTACGGCAGCGTAGCTTTCTTCAACAACGGAAGCGAAAGCGGCTTTCAGATGGAAATGGATTGGAAAAGTGGGAATTCACGGTAAGCCAAAGCTTCTGATCTAGATTGCTTCCAGGTGTATTATTCTCTTTTGTTATAGGAAGAAGAATTCTCAGCAAAGTTTGCCAGTCTCTTCCTTATGATGGCTCCGCAGGAAATGTACATAAAATGTAAAGATTTTGATCAAAATGTCGAGGCACTTGTTAAGAAATGTGTTGGAACATTACGAAGCAGTACCCTAGCTTTGGAAATGGATAAGTGTTCGGTATGAAGTATAAAATTGCTACATTTTTTCACAGTGTTTCTCAAGCAGTTATTTTTGTAGTTGGACGAGTGCGCTCTGGGTGATTTTTTCAAGCACTACTCACCGTTCAGTCTACATTTAGCCGGCCATTTCGACAGGAGTATAATATCTGATGAGGTAGGCAAAAGATTTGCGTTGATCTTATGATACTATTCATTCCCTTTAGGCAGCGTTCATACTTTGTTTCAGCATTTTGAGCGACAAGGAAAGTATAGGTATTGTTCCAGCGTATAACAGCGCTCTGAGCGACTAGGGAAATATAGATATCGATCTAGAGTTTTGAGTCTACGCCAACGTTTTCGGCGCCTGCCCGTGAAACGCTCAAAACGCTGACTCAGAGTATGAACGCAGCCTTGCTGCATGCTGGTTTGGCTTTTGATGGTTTCATCTGAACGTGCTACTACATCTTACTGTGTCTTTCCTTTCATTACTGTGCAGCAAAGTTTTGGTGTATTTATAGAACTTGCCTCTTTCCTCTCTATTCGCTTTATTCATTGGGGCAAACCGCGCTGATATGGAGACTTGCACCAGGGTTTCTGGAATCACCGTTCGGAAAATCGTGAATAACTGGTTCAAGCGCTATCCCGACAGCACTAAAGACAAGCCAAGGTAGGTAGCGTTTGAAATCTATTTCAGCTTTTCTAGCTAATCGGACCTGTCTTCCGATAGTTCATGCACCTTGTAATGAGTAAGGTTTTTGACCTTCACGTACCAACCATATAAACCTTAGGAGGATAAACCTTCAGGCGCGGATTATCTGTTCGATCTAAGCCATGCATTCTAGTCGAGTAGTTGTGGTGATAAAAACGTACGAGTTTGAGTAGAAAGTAGTTTGATTGTGAGTGCGAGTATAAGAAAAGCTACAGGCTAAAGATGTTTGACCTGTGCAAGGAGTCCTGAGAACGGTCGACGACTTTGTGTTTCTTAGCCATTTTAGGAATTCCTTCGAAGTTTCCGAAATGTCTTCATCAGTTTCGATTTTCGATACGAGATTATACTTGATAAAGAAGTCACGAATCAGAAGAGAATTTTGAAATGACCCATTGTCGCCAGTGATGTGCCATACAGGAACGGAAAGACTTATATTGCCCTTACATATTGCCCTTACCCTCAGATTCGAAGGTACGGCAGAATAATGAGGAAATACGGCGTGTAAGTTTGCTCCGTTGATGCACCTTGAAAAGATGGACGGCGCGAAGGATGAATCGGGGTTAAGGGAACCTTTTTCCCCATGCGCCAGTTCCAGAAAAAAAAACTATTTGGCAGTTTTCAACTATTTCTACCCCATTACACTCGGAAAAAATTTTCGCCTAGAGATTGTCTGCAGGAGTTGTCCAATATCCTAGTCACAAATACAGAATCCGTTCTAGACGCGATTTGCCGCCTAGTAGGGCTTTCTAGTCGCGCAGGCGACCAGAGGGTCCTACGTTAATACCTGCGCTGATTGTCACATCTGTGATCAGTATGTAATTATGTAAGTTTATCCGAATTATAGTGAAAAAAGATGACGCTGATTCCGCGCCAGCCCAGAATTAATGTCATATTGATAATCAGAACACCAACAAGCGCTGGTATGCAAGTTTATACCGACTTGGTGAAGAATGATGGCGCCGGCGCCAAAGACGCAACCCATATTCGTGATCAGGGCACCGAGTAACCTCTATGGGCAGTTGCTTGTTGTTGTTGTTGTTTTAGCAATAAAATACATTAGTTTTTGGGGTGGTGATAGTCGAGCAATGCCATTTTTCACAAATAATCAATTTGAACGGTCGTGCCTTCTTCTTCCTAGATTTATGATAAAATTTTCATCGCCCACCCCATCGATTATCAGCATCTCTCAAAACTGGATTTACATATAAAAATAATTGGAAAAACTTGGTGGTGTAGAAATGAGGCGCGGGACTGGTATCGTTCATAGTTCTCCTTTTCTACACTTTACCGAATTGCGCCGTATATCGACAAGGGTTCACGAAATGCTTACCTCCTCCCTCCCATTGTATGCAGACTTGTACCATTATCTCAAAACAGCTATTCAATCGCTATATGTTGCTTTTCCAGTTTACCGCCTATCGATGGGTATCTCTCCAAAACCTTTTCTATTGAAATACCTGACTGTGATATGGATTACAATGAGTTCTTCGCTTTTCTTCGGGTAATTTGTTTGGTTTCGCCAGGACCTGCCGTAATGCTAAAATAAGTATTATTTCAGGAGATAATTCTTGTACCACATGGTACCAAGGAAAGAATTAAGATCGGAAAACTTCCTAAAACATTGATTCACACCATTTACAGGTAAGCGACTAGTTTTTCTTACTTCTTATTTCTGTGAGTGTTTTCTCTGAAATAGTAACAGATTGATTAATTTTTGTACAACTTGTTTTCAGCAATTTGACAACATTTAATGAAATCGGTCCAGCGGTGTGGGTTGAACAAGGCCTTTGCAGTGTGGACGATATAAAATGGTAAAAAATGGTGTGCCAGCTTGACTTGCCAGTGTGATAAGTCAGTTTCTTTTCATTTTCCACTTCGAACCATAGTATTTTCGGTGAGACAGTTAGTGTCAGTTTCTGCCAAACTTTCTATTTTATTTGGCGTTTGAAGTCATTTAGGTTTAGATAGAGTCCTCCAGTGGCGAAGGCGATCGCTGGTTTTCTATCGCTACTGTTCGCTTCCGTTATTACCTCTTGAATAATCCTTTAACATCTGGCATCTAGAGATGCATTATCCTTATCCACGCTGATAATGCGTTCATCACTTTGCGTCAGCGCTTTGAATGTGCAGCATTTGGAGAGACTAAGAAAGTATAGGTATCGAACATGCTGTATGCGTTGGAAAACAGACCGCAAAGACTTACGCTGGAGCGTGACCATCGCTTTGATACTGCTGCGAAACCACCATCTATCTATCCACCACCAATTCCGAAGCATTTTTCAGTCGGCATCTAGCGGATCACAACTATTTCTTGGATCGAGATTTGCCACCTAGTCCGTCTCAAATGTGTGATACAGTTCAGCTGGATCTGAGTATTACGTGAGTTGCTCTTCCTTATATTTGTTTGGAGGAACGTCTGTCATTCAAGAGAATCGCCCATTCATGTTTCATGTCTGTAGAGGTTCAAGCAAATGGTGCACTGAACAATTACCATTTTCTCGTAAAATATTCTTTTCGAAATAACTATTTGATCTGAGCGCTTTCTCAGAAAACGTTGTTTATATGACTCTTTCCTTTTCTGCTTCCTGGGATGTTTAGAGAGGCTTTTAGTAAGCTACAGTGTATGCACATACTTGAGGCCATGTAAAAGAGATGCAGAAGAGCTTATAGTAGCCGAACGTTACTTGTTTGTACAGGAATATCTAAGAGAGCTAACGAAGAGTGCCGCTATGCTTGAAAGACTCGCTGGTTGATCATAGGTAACGTTGCGAACAGCACACAGCATATGAGAATTCCCCAGAGACGAAGATCGTATCTCATTTAGCCATGATGTGAAAAAAGTGCCCGTTTCTGGTAACAGCAGCAATGTTAGCGATTCTGATGAGCTATACTTCTCCCTTCTGCTGGGTTCTCTCGGAAAGATGGAGATATGGCATAGCGGCCTAGAACAGTGCCGAATTAATGGATAGAAAAACACTGCTCCTGTATAGGCCAGCGCGATAATTTATTCCGTCATTCGCCAATGAAATTGCAGTCTATCATGCCTTTCGTACCTACATGGTAGTACTAGATTCTGGCGAGATGAAACAATGTTGAAATTCCTTCAGAGGTCGTGGTCGTGCTTAAATATCTGTATATTTGCACATATTACCATCTTCGACCTCTCAATGCGCTAAGATTTGAACAGAAGAATATCGCCACTATTTACCCTATTCTTGCCTCCACTCTATCTAAACTATGATCAGAATTTTTAATCTGGGCTAAGGTTGGTTTAATGTTGCTAAATTTGATCAACTAGCACGCGAATATGACATCCACTTGAAGTGAAGCGAAAATCTTTGCTAGTGTCTCAAGATAGTTTTGGGGACAGCTTCCTCAGCAGACGTATAAGGCCTTCTTGCTCCATGGGAATGACGTGTTTGCTTCTTAGGATAACAAACTACTCACGAGAATCTGCCCTTGGATGAAGCTGCGATCAATGACTCGAAGAGTGGCGCCGTAAAGGAAAATACATTGCCGATTTTTTTTACTCTTCTATTCACCTTTTGTTCCGTCGCAAAATGTGAATCCAACCCTAGGACTTTGAACGCGCAGTTTTGGGTTGCGATATACAGCCGGCGTATGTGATCAATACAGATGTCTATAGAGGACTTCTTTCATCGAAACTTCACTGTAGTAGCTTATTTCGAAATTCCTATGATTGTCATGAATCACTCGAATTGTTTAGGGTTTCACGATATGAGGAAATGCTTCGGCCGAAAAATTACCTCCTAAATGTATGGATCACGTTAAAATCAGGTGAAGTGGAACGTGAAAAGTGTTTGCCCGAGACAGTTTTAGTGGATACTGCTGTTTCACACAAACGTCGAAGAACAAGACCTTAACCTGTTTTCGGTACGCCTTTATCAAGTTATGAGAACCTCTGCCGTTTTCTTTGTTCCATCTCAATACATTTTTTAATTTTTTTTCTCAGACTGTTTTAAAGCAAATTATTTTTGTTTTGTGTTGTGTTGTGTGCCTCTGAGAGATAAGAGTAGAATATTAGTACACGATTGTTGTAAACAGTCGATGTTACACTCATTTCTGATATGGGTACAGTAGCTTTAAGCTGTAACGTGTAAACCAGTTGTTTAATATGTTGGTGCTTATATAGGATTTTAGCCTTATGCCCTTGTCATCTTTTTTTCCCTGTGATTTCTCCCCTAATATTAGTGTAAGGCATCAGTTCTACCAAAGCCAGCATTTCTTTTCTGAGTAATAAATTGTTCTTACTTGTTGTTGGAAATGGATTGATAGCGGTTCTTTCCCAATTGACTGCAATTACCTGAATTTTTCTTTGCATTCCATTTAAAAACCACTTACAGGCGGGCTGTGCTGAAAAATAAACCCTTTGAAGTAAGTGAGGTGGACAAACAAAAAAAACTGCACAGCAATAACCTTGGGGGAGGGGGAATCATTTGAAGGGATGCTGCTCAAAATTGAGTACCATAAAACAGATGAGGGATTTTGCGTGGACCTTAGGAGCGAGGTATCTCTGGAGTGGTAGAATCATTTTAGAGTGAAGTTATCCTATTCGGATGACACAGTAATTCCTAGTTGGCCCAAGTAGGTCCTATGCCCCTACCAAGGCTATGAGCGCTGAAATTGGTTTGGATGGTGTTCCGATAATTTGTTTGTGAGCTTAATTGATTTTCGACTCTTTCGTAATTTTGATAAAACAGAAGTTAAGCCGAGGTCATGTGGGATTGGCAAAGTTTCTTCGTGAAAATCGGTATCCCGACCAGTATTGCATCTCGTTATGCAGAAATCTTCAGACAAAACAGGTAGTATAGGTTTTCTATATGCTTGTCTACAGATTGTTGTGGCGTTTCACTTATAATTTTAATTCAGAGTGTCAAAGGATATGCTTCCCGACCTTGACAAGGCTACGTTAGCTGATCTGGGTGTGACAGCAGTTGGAGACCAAGTGGGTTTGACCAACTTTCTGTGCCGTAGTCTTTGAAATTTGCATTTCACTTGAATTGCCATCATACTTCGCGATTTGGTCGTGCTGATCGCGCGTGCCATTTAATCGCTCTGACCGCGCAAGCAAAACCGCGGCGCTTCTCCGTTGGTCGATAGAGTGCCCCTAGCCTTGGTCGCGCATTCAGGGCCACTGCTTGCACCATCGAGTCGCGAAGTATGAGCAATTTTTATCATATGGAACGTTTGCATGTTGTTTCTGATCCATTAACTATGTGAAATATCGTATTTCAGTTGGCGATTTTGAAGCATGCAAAGGATCATGCCTACGAGCTGGAACCTGATTCGCCGGAAAAACTTCGTGTTCATATCCCTGGGCCTAAAGCAGGTGAGTATTCCTTTTGTGCTGTTTCAGCGATGCGTTGTTATCTCTTCTCTACATTTCCCTCACTCGATCATGAATGTTCAAAAAGCGACTGTAGTTTTGAATGTAAGTCCAACGCGTGCCGCATCCCAAACAAGCATTAACAGCTTTATCGTTTTATTGGCTTACTATCTGCTTCTGCGATTCTGCTTGGAGACTCACGTCTCTTCTTTATGTGACTATAAGCGGAATTATCAGAGATCTCTTCCATCTGTCTTTTATGTCCTGATGTATCAGAACTGTTACCCCTTTTACTCCATCGCTCATTGCTTATGGTAACAAAGGTGTCGTTGCCATACTTGCAGTCTTGCTCGCTGATAGGGTGTGTCAGTGAGGCAGGGATTGGCGCGCCGCCAGCCCGTCCTGCGCCAGTTTTTGAAGTGGTACAGGTATGTTCGCTGAAAAAGAAGAACGGGCTGGCGTCGTGCCGGACTCATCCCATCCCCACTCGACACTCCCCATAATCCGCAGCAAACAAGACTGGATATGAACGGATGCTCACGTTAAGTTCGTCCAAGGCTGCGTTTATACTCTGCGACTTGGCGTCTTGGAAGAAGCGAAGAGGATGGTTTAATTATCAAAGGCGGCCACTCACTAGCACTGTGGACGAATGGCGTCCTGGCTGAACAGCTTTTCGAGCGAATCAGTCTTTTGAGCGGATCGTCCTTGCGATTCTGGGTTTTTCGATTCGATTTTGGGCACGTTAGTAAGTGAGCATAAAATCATTCGCTGAAAACGTTGATTCTTTCAGAACGCCGTTTCATTCAAAATGCAGAGTGTCCCAAAAGAGTCGCAAAGTATCAGCGCGGTCTGAATTGTTGTATTTGCTTCAGAAAAATCGCTGAATGGATCTACATCTACCGACCAGCGCAAAGGGAGACCGCCTCCGGATCGCCACGAGATTTATCACGTCAAAATGCCTGAGGGTAGTACTGCTCGTACGAAGCAAATCATGCAAAACGCGAGCATGATGCGAAAGCATGGTTTGTCACTCCTATTTATCACACCCGGCTCAGATTCCGAGTGTGTTCACTTTCTTCTTTTTTGTATCGCTTGGTGCAGGGATTGTGGCACTAGCTCATTTCAGTGCTAGTCTAGCGACCAGTTGAATTAGACCTACTGGATATGATTATATCGCCTTTCCCTATTTTGTTTTGCATTCGTGAAACTCATAGATTTCGAGATTTTATGCTTGATTAATTTTTTCTCTTGTTGACTCTTAGACTGCGTTCGTGGTCAGCATTTTGAGGTACGGCAGCGTTTCGAGTTTGAGCCAGCGTTGCGAGCGTTTTGAGCGACTAAGTAAATCTTTCGATCTAGAGTTCGCTAACATATGGCAGCGAACAACAGCGTTTTGAGTTTTGAGGAGCGAAAGCGTTTTCACCGACTACGTGCGAAACGTTCAAAACACTGGCGTACGCTATAATCTCCAGATCGAATCTATACTTTCCTAGTCGCCCAGAACGCTGGCGTACATTCAAAACGCTAACGCAAGGCGCAAACCGGCACTTATCTTCATATGCCATCGCTATCGAGTTTGATATCCCCCCCCCCACAAAGACAAGAAAACTATCCAAAATCGTAATCCCATGGTTCTTTCAAAAAGTACTGCTAATGAGTCAGACGTACATCTACAAGACTGCTGGCCATCATATTCACTAACCTCAAAGTTGGTTTGCATAGTTCCCATGAGAATTGATAGCTATTTAGGATTGGTCGTTCGTGGCACAACCGGCGTAAGGCAAGGCGGTCGATCCGTGAGCCCAGTTGATAAAAGAAGCGCGGCTGTGATCCGAATGCGTCAAGAACGTGAGTCATTTAAAGTAATTTGATTTCAATCGCTTCGCAAATGCAGTTTCTGAATTTGTTATTTCACACGGTTCAATACAGGTGGAAAAGTAACGGAGTAAGGTCTTTTAAACATAGGATTAAACGTAGGGTAATAAGCCAAAATTTCGTCAATTTTTTTACACCGATGATTGACAGTTTCATCTATGTTTT